GACTGTTTTTTAGTAGGCTGTGCAGACTGCCAGACCTGAGTCTACCTTCAAACTACTGGGAAAAAACATCCTGTCTGCAAATCAGAGGATAGACAGGGTTTTGTGTCTGGATGCAGGCTGGGCCAGTGGGCCCATCCAGAGGCCAGTAAGAACTCTAAGCTTTGAGATTTCATGCCTTCAACAATCTGAGTGGTGTCCAAGTATCACAGTGATGGGCGCTGCAGCCCAAAGAAGACAACCTGGGGCTGGTTTTCAACGTGCATTCCTGAGATCAGCTAACCCATGGCATACTGTATGTGGTGGGTGTGAAGGGCAGCCTGAATATTACTCTCCCATAATTACAATATCCTTCTTCTCCAGGGATCACCAGCTAGAGCAGGGAATAGATGAACCTGAAAACAGCACTGTCTGAAATGAAGACAGATTTTATTGCTGTACACCCCAGCTGTTGAGGAAGGAGTGACTACACACAGATAATTTGCCAGGACATGACAAACACACAGGAGGAGCCTTCTGCTCCATTCAGTAGGCTAGGCATAGAAGACAGAGGCTGGCAGATGCAGCATGGTCCCCTCCGACTGCCTTGGTCATTTCCATCTCTGCCCTTCCCCTACAAACTTGCCTGGTCTCCCTTGAGAGCCAGGACACTGCTGTCTCCAAGGCTCCTTTGGCCCTTTCCTGCTACATGGGGACTTGAAGGGTGGTCTGGGCAGCAGAGTTGATATACTGAAGCTGAAAACCCATCACACAACAGAGGCAATTGGGCCTACCAGCATCTTTCTCTTTGCCCGGAGAGCAAGTCCTGGCTCTGGCAGGGCTGTCACAGCAGCAGGGCCTGTGGCGAGCTGCCACTTGTCTGAATAGCCAAACTCCATGCTCAGGGAGCAGGCAGGGATGGAGGAACATAGCTGTGGTTGATCAAAGCCACAAGCTATTCTCCAGGAGGAAGCCCAGGCTGAACTCTGCAGTTCCAGTCCCTGGGGGCAGACTGCCAAAAACAGTAAGCCAAAAAAGCCACACACAAGCCGAGACAAAATCTTCCTTCCTCCTTCCATTAGATCATCTCCTTTGCCAGCTGCTCAGCTCCTCACCTACAAATCCCCACCAGCTCCTGCGTCTGAGCAAATATGCAAGTTATCAAACCTCACCTGCCTCTTTGCTCAGATCCAAACTGGGGAGTCATCACCCCTACTTGCACCCACTTCTCACCCTCATCGCAGTCCATTGCTGCTTGGAAAGTTTTCTCCTCTCCAAGGAGCCCACACACAGTGTGACTACTGAACTCCACACGTGGCTGGCAAGTCATGAGGGGATGTTTGTGCTCCCAATCCAATTTGCAGAAGCAACCAACATACCGTGAATTGTAAGTGTCAGATATCACAGGCACATCTCCAGCTGGATTTTCCATTCAGAGGGGAGGTATTGGTTCCAGAAATTGCAGCAAGTGCCTCCCAAGTGTAAGAAAAAATAGTGACTGTCAGAGAAGGGTCAGGGCTTGATCCCCTGCCTCTATCCTTCCTCCTTGCTCACTTGTGAGCTGAGGATGGGTTGCTTGAAGTGCACCACCTATCCCTGCCTGCCAGTGAATATTCAGGCAGTCTATCTCGAATCTCTGAGCCTTTGATCCTATTTGCCTACAAATCTCCTTGGAGATAAGGGCAAAGGAGGGAGACCAGAGACAGGATTGTTTCTAGAGAGAATAGTGTGCCTTCTGCTTTCCCATGGAGAATCAGGAGTGCTGCATTCCTTTCAAGCCACTGGCCTTGTTGTGCTGCAGGGATGAGCCTCACCACGAAGCCTGGGCCCAAGGTCACAAAGAAAGAGCTCTCAACTCAACCCTGTGAACGGCAGAGCAGGGTTCATTTAGGTGTTTAATTAGGAATTATTGCTAATCATTGTATGCACTACAGCAGAACAGACAGGTTCCAGTGGAAATCATGATTTGCAGACACAAACATACTTACACAGAAGCTCATTCTTGCCACAGACCTTATAGTCTAAAGAGGAGCAGATGTTGATGCAAAACGTCACAGCAGGAAACAGACCAGAGACTGTCTCAGTTCAACCTGAGTGCTCAGGTAACACTCAGCTGTCAGGTAACATGTGTAGGGAGAGAAAAACACTGGGGAGAAGCAGGGTCTGTAAAAGCAAGCAGATGAAGTACATGGGAGACTCACTGGCACAAATCCCTAGCATCATGTATTCTTGCAACCACAAGACATCCTGATGAAAATACTCACAGAGAGAAAGACTTGCTGCTGTCCTTGGACACACAAGGGTGAACAGATAGATATTCAATCAGATGAAGAAGTGACTGGTCCAAACTTCATCAAAGTAACTAATCTCTTTCACTCATCTGTAATTGGATTAAGCTGTCCCAAACACAAGAAGCTGCGGAAGCCAAGAATTAAGCAAACAATTTTCTAAAAAGATTGGACAATGATGTGGATGAGAAGAAACAAAAAAGCATAACAATGATCACTAACAACGCTTTCGGAAAAGATGCTAAAATTTATATTCCTGGTCCCAATCCCATCTCTAATAGATAGGAACCAGAAAGTGATGGTAAGTGTTGAACAGATTATGTTACATCTGCCAGCTGCAAGGTTCTTGCACCTTCCCCTAAAGCATCTGGCAAAGGCATCAGAGAAAGCATCAGATAATCAGAGACAGGATCCGGGAATAAATGGATTTTAGGGCTCACCCAGTTTTACCATTTCAAGGTTCCAGTGTTTCCAGGATCAAGATTGCAATCTCCATATTTGTGTATACAAAGTCCTTGCTGACATCAGTGAAGTGAAGCCATTTGAAGTAGCACTGCCAGTGTTTGTGATGGGTTGTGGATCTCATTATACTGGTCCTGTTTTTCCTTAAAGCTCCAGAACCTGATGACAGATGATTAGGTGAGAAAAGTGTTATCTGCATAAGACAAGTTTCTAGTCCTCTTGTGTGGGGGAAAAACCAAAAATTGTGATACTAATGCAACATGTTTTCTTCACTGCAGGGAAAAACTACAAAAAGCTATTTGAAGGCAACTCTAACGCTCAGAGGCAAAGAGAGAAAATGCAGTATTTATTCTTTTACAAAAACCCATGATTTTGGAGTTATCACAAATTTTTGTGGTCCAGCTTAAAATGTCTGAAACTTTGGGACTTAGAATACTGAATTTAAGGCAATGTGAACTCCTTTGAGCTCCCTCATGTCTCAGTTCTTGATACCTTCTCTCAGACGCAAGGCTTCTGTTCAGCAGCTCTTCAGAAGCCCTCCTCTGCAGGGTCTGCCTCCCCCCATGCTGCTGACTTCCTAGATTTCATCAGACATCCCATTCGAGTCACCGTTTTTTGTAAAGCTCCAGCTCCCAGACTCACTCAATTACGTGAAAACTTACATCATATAAGGGAAAGTTCCTACTCTTCACAGCTACCAGGAAAAGCTAGCAATGGAACCTGACTGTAACCTTAAAGCCCAATACTGAAGGCCTGAGAAAAACACTAGTATCTTCTTACACTACTGTGTAAGATGTTTATGATTTGAGAGATTCAGGTCTTGGACTGTGTATCTGAAGTCCTTTTGCTGGCTACATTGCTCTCCCCACCCCTTGATTTTGAATGGGTCTCTCTTGCCTCCAGCCTGCTGCTTTGCCCTCCTAAATTTACACCGCTGCTTCCTAAAAAGGCTAAAAGACTAAAAAGTGCTCCACAGCAGTATGGATTCTGGATAAAAAAGGAGACTGATGTTCCCTTGAACACCAAAACTCAGTCCAGCTCAGGCACTAGTGGCATATCCTTAGCATGGTCCTGAGCTTTGTCCCAGCAAATGTCACCACCATATTTGCCTCCCACCCTCTAGCTAAGCTCTGAGTCTCTCTCCCTTGTCTCAGGGCATAGAATCCCTTGGTGCCAGGGAGCGAAAACAGCTCTCCTCTTACTCCTCCCTTTCCTCCCTGGCTCCCTTGTCAGGTGGCAGCCAGAAGCTGGTAAAGGTTACAACCAGTTTCCCACTGCTGCTGTAATTTTGGCTCTATAGCACAGCACCCTGTTGAGGCTGGGCTTTTAGAGCCCCAAAGGCTTTCCGACTGAAGATGTAGGGAGTTGGCCCTGAGGGTTAGGGCGTTCACAATTTGCATGGGAAGCAAGTTAGTGCTCAAACTCGGGCTCTGACCCAAGTTTAGCATACAATGGGAACGTGCCCACGTACTAGAGTCTTGTCCTGGGGCCAGTGTCTTAGGGCATCATTTCGAAGGTGATCACACCTCCTAACTTCATGTAACCTGCTCAGCAAGGGGTTTCCAGTGCATCCCTCACCCTGGTATACAGGTGTGTGAGATTTGCATCTGTGGCTGCTTCACACAGGCAGAGCTTTCCGGGGAAGGTATGTTTTCCAGTTCTTTCCTGTGCCAGTATTGCCGCCACCTGGAGATGAGAGGAATGAAGGGCACCCAGCCATTTCCTTACCTTCATCCCTCTGCCTCTTCTCAGCCACAAAGCACCTTCCTCTATTTCAGCTGGAGAGAAAGCTGGCAGCCTCCCAGCTCTTGCGGTTATGGTGTCCCAAGCGTGCAGCCTGTTGTGAGCCCTGCTCTGCGGAGGATGGGGCCCTTACGCTCTTGGTAAAAACACAGCTCCTGGGCACTGGGGGAGTCTTTGGCAAAAGGAAATAACCTCCACTCAGTGCACTCACAGTCCTCCACCTTCTGGAAGGAGCAACTTGCCCTGGGCTTTCCTGTCCTTTTTAGTTTAGAATTTAAGCTGCAGATCTGTGCGAATGAATACAGGCTTGTGTGTTCGGCAGAGCTGTAAAGGAGAAGGGATTTTTCCATGTATTTTATGGCACTGTCTGGGTACTGAGATGGGAGGGAGCTTATATGCTGCATGTGCACGTGCACATTTTCATGTTGTCTGCACGTGTGTGCATGCATATGTGCATTTCCATATTGCGTCTAATAGGCTCTTTGTTTCTCCAGAGAAGAAGGAAAAGGAAATCCGCATGTAATGAATCCATTTATTTTATGGAGCTCCCCTGGAGAGGGGCCGGGGAGCACGATTTATGCAAAAAATCAGGCAGCTGCTGTTGGGAGGGGGACATCAATCTGGTTTTGATTTTCATTCGTAAGTGGAGGTGGCCACACAAGCCAAGGCCTCATAAACTCCCCATAGAGGAGAGTGGCCCGTTGGTGTGAGGCTGTCAGAGCCTATTTGGCCGTTAGTATCGAGCTGCTCTCCTCTGCATCCGACTAATTCCCGCCCTGTTGTTCTGCTTTCTTAGGATGTGTTTTCCCCATGCTGAGGCCTCCCATTAGAAGAGAGAGGCAGAGCTGTACAAGGGGCACAGACTGAAATCTTTGTATTGAAGGGCAAAAAAGCCCTTTACAGAGCATTTGCAGTTTATACCACAATTCAGTGTATAATGTTAAAAAAAAACAACAAAAAGTAACATGACTTGTATGATACAGTCCAGTCCCTCTCTGCCATTTACAAAAACAGAGGGAGTGAGATGGGATGGAAGAAATGGCCTGGAAACTATATACCACTTATCAGTCTTTTTTCCATCCCTGCCATTTTGCATAACTATTGTCAGGACTGTGAGTGCAAAGGGACAGTGGAGTGGTTCCTGGTGGGGAAGAGATGCCTTAATGGAGCAGAGCTCTTGACAGAATTCTGTTTTATTATCTGATTCTTCATAGATTAAGAGTCCGTGGAGTTTATCCATCAATAGCATAAGAGAAAACTGCCCATAGCATACCATAACTCACTCTGTGACAAGTAAATTGCATTTGGCTTCCTAATGATCTCCCCCCACTGTCTGTGCATGGCATAGCTAACATGCAAAGAATCTAACTCAAAATCTAACTCAGGGTCTGTATTCTTCAACATAATCTTGTGCTTGTCCAGTAGAGGTAGGCAGGTAAGTGGATAGACATATATCAATTCAGGAAACCAAGAATGAAAACTAGTCTTTCCTGAAAACTGTCCTCACATGCGACTAGCAATTAATTACCGGACAAAGTTATTAATTTTTGTATTTTACTGGCTCTATGTAATTTGGGTCCCTATAAAGTACATAAATTCTCTAGTTCTCAACATTGAACGATATTTTTAGATCCCTCAGATACATGTTGTCCTTTCAGAGAACAGACAACACTTGACTGTTGACACTGAACTTTAAAAGGCTTTTCCTTGGCAGAACTAAGGCCCAGTAGTGGGTCAGTGAGAAAAATTCGGAAGAAGAGGTGTGGTTCACTTACCACTCCCTAAAATGCCCAAACCACCTTGCAGAAGAAGGATTCATTTTGAGAACTACAAAAAGGAAGCTGGCTCATTTGCATGTAACACATTTGTTGATTTTCCAGGTAGCCTTTCCGTGGCTTTTTGAGAACTTCATTTGGCACCAGCTTATAAATCAAAGGTGTTTATGTTATGCTGCCAGCAATACAGCCCCTGGCATCACACTGCTTTTTCATCACCAAACATTCTGAACCTCCTGTTCCCAAGTATCTGGAAGGAAAAAAAAAAAGATGCCTTGAAGATATAAAGGCCAAGTATGCACTGATGTGAAATGCTAACTTTAGAGAAGCAGCCACAAGGAATGGGGGTTTTTTTCTGAAAACAGTGGGATCAGAGCCTCTCCCTGAATCCAAAGGTGGTACGTCAATTGGGCCATCAGTTTTCAGGCCAAAAGAAAGAGCTGCTTTTACAGACCATACTGGAAAAACAGTCTTATCTGTGGAGGAATGGATCAGGTTACAGAGCTTCCACCAGCAGTAACTTTCAAGCATAAAGTTGGACCCATTTCACAATGTTGTTTTGAAAGAAACATAATTGCTTACTAAGTCTCAGAACTCCTAGCCCTATAGCAGAGACTAATAAAGATTAGCTGAAAGGCCTCAAATTTACAGGAAAATGCCATTGTCCACACTTGCCCCTTGAGAATGCGCAATTCAATGACTTTACTCTGAGAGACAAAACTGAGTTCCAACAACCAAAACACTGTGCAAGACAGGTGAGTAGCTAAAAGTAAACAGATCACCTTAATGCTCTTCTGTTTTACATTATTCTTCCTTGGATATAAACACAAGTGTCTTTAGTAGCATTGCAAAGGACATTTAGAATTAGAGAAACGTTGAACCGATCCATCCCTCCACCTTCTGCATGTTTGCACATCCACTTATTAAGTGCACATGTTTCAAGTCATTTTATGAACTGAATATCTTATGAAATCTTAGTTGAATGATACTGTACCTATCAAAGTTTTTCAATGGTCCCTTCAGCTACAACTTGTGCAACTCTTAATTTTAATGTGTTCCATCTTCATACAGACCTATAGGAAAGAGAGGCACAATTATACACCATAGCCAGTTAAGTCCCTGAGGAACTCAAAGACTAAGGCTTGTCCCACACTGCAAAGCTCATCCGGCCAAAAAGGACTGCTGATGTAACTGTGCCAGCAAAACCCCTCATGCAGATGTCTCCAAAGTGATGCACTCTATAGTGTCCTCATTTTTATCACTCAGTAAACAAGGAAATGGCCCTAGGCTGGGAAAAGGAGGCAGTAAACAATGCCCAGTCCAGCAGTAAGGCTTCTAGATATGCAGACCATATTCCCCCTAGGTGTCTCTGCCAATGTAGCTATGCTCCTGATCATATGGTAATTAAGCTATTATTTCTCAAATAAAAACACACAGATCATAAGTAGGTACTCTGTACTTCATGACTGGCCAGCACACAAAAGCTCATTCTTGCTATTCTCTTGGAGTTTGACTTCTGCTTCTAAAACTGTGCCCCTTAATTGCTCACAAGAAAAACATGTTCGAAAAATCACCTCATGACTTGTCAAGGTCAAACAGAAAGTCTGTGGCAAAGCAGAGAATTGAGCCGAGATCTGCATCTCCAGCTAGTCACTTAAGAACATGGATCAGATGACACATGAGAAGCAGGACAGCCTGGAAGCACTCTAAGAAAATTTATGCCATCATCAGGATGTAACAACCCAGAAAACAGAATGCAAAATCATCCTGGGAGATAGGGTGAGCTACCTCAACTGACAGACACAAGGACATGCTCACATACGCTACTGCACAGCTAGAGACATGGCATGCCAAATATGCCAGACGACAGCACTACATACATTCGTGTGTCATGCTATGATATGACACCTCTTCTCCAAATAGACAGCTCTGAGGACAGTGAGAGAAAATAGTTTCCTGCAGTATTTCTGATGATCAAGAGAAGCCTCCATACAACTGGACTGAGGACCACACAGTGGAATTAAGACAGCAGCTGTGAGCAGAGAAGGTTCCAGCCTGGCCTCTGGGCACCCACAAAAGGCATAATAACTTCTGATACTCCTTACGCAAAAGCTATAGGTCCATTGATGTCTGTCTGGAAAGAGTCTTAGTATACAATAAGGAAAGGTGGAAAAAAACTTAAAGAGACTAGTTTAGTTCACCTGGTTGAGAACAAAGACTCTTCTAGCAGCAAATAATTCAGCATAGCCCTGACTCCTTCATCTAGGAAGTGATTTTCATCCAAGAACTCCTCACCAGGAATTACACCTTTTCAGCCAGCTCTCTGCACTTCCTACTGACTTGGTCTAATGAAAGTGACTCCCAACCAATACTGGTTTAGTAAAGTTCTTACCAGATCAAAACTGACCTCAGCTGGCTCCTGTCATTTCCAAAAAGCTCCTGCTGATTTGGCTGACTAACTGAGCTCCGGGAAAATTGCGTGTAAGCCCTGCATTTTCAGAGGGTAAATTCTCCCTTTCTGGAACACAAAAGAGAAAGGAACAAAGCCAACAGGAACAAACAGAGTCAATTTGTCTGGATGGAAATGTTTCCAGCAACCCCTGCTCTAGGGCTACTGACACTGAGCCGAGCAGCAAGACATCCTGGGCAGACCAGCATCCCGTGCCACTTCACACAAACTTCCCCAGCCACTGGCCACTTTCTTTCTAGCTTTATTTGACTGCCCCACACCTGGACACCAGCACAACTTCATGCTGCAGCCACATGCAGAGAGGACTATCCTTGCAAAAAATCCTTTCATCTTGTGAAGGGCCAAAAGATAAGTCCCAAAGCAGACACTCAAAAGCACCCTGTACATTGGAGATGAGTCCAGCAGGACTTTCAGGCACTTTCCTTACCCCTCTCAAGCTCTTGGCAGAACTGAGATTCAAAATGATTACTTTGATTATAGGCTTACGGCTACTTTAGCATCTGACTTCCATGCATGGCCCACCTGGCAAAGCAGGCACACCTTCCCCAAATCCACGCCAGGCCCATAACATTAGCAGGCTGTGTGGGCTGCTCTGCCTCAGGGCTGTGGAGCCTGTCGCATTCCCCTCCAGCTGTATCGTCGGCAGCGTCATGCTGACAGGTTCAAGCCGTGCAGAGAGAGTTGTTTTTATAACCCACTTTCTTTTGATAAAACTTTCCCAAGCTTATTCCTCTACATTATAGTCAGGATCACCTGCTGCTCAGGGGGATTCAGATTCTTAAAGGAAAATGGAAAAAAAAAAAAAAAAGAAACCCAGTGAGGAAAAACTGACATATAATGGCATCCAAGGAAGAAGAAAGCACTTAGCACTAACCAGTTACTCCAAATACTGAGCTCTGCCAGCATCCCTCATTCCTGACTGGCAACTCCCTTTCTTTCTCTATTCTTCCCTGGTGTCACCACAACAATCTCTGCTGACCTGCAGCTCCCCTACTATTTCTGCCCTGGGACCACAACATATTGCCCAGGAGTTGTCTTTGAGTCTTGATCGATAGCCCCCAATGCAACAGTGACATGCTGGTCTGCTCACAAATTAAACACCACTCAGCTCTGTGATCCCACAACCCATCTCTGCTGCACACTTTGGCCTTTGCTTATGACATCCCAATTGTTCTTATCCCTCATTCACAGTACAGCTTCTTCTATGTACCTCAGTCTCAATTCACCACCTTCTTTAGTCCATACAGACAGAAACCAGCAGATGTGGAATATGTGAGTCGCTCTGTTGCAGCAGTCCCAAGGTCTCCACAGTTCAGTATTTTACCTCCTGAAAAAGCTACCAGACTAGACAGAGGAGGATTTAAAATCCACTTAGTAGCCTGTCCACCATCCAAATTTGAACTGACATTAGTTTAAAAGCCTGAAACATCATGTTTATTCTGGCTTTCAGTTATGTTATTAATAACTACAGTGACTCTCCACATACTTGCCATTCACACACTGCCCAGTCAAGTAGACAGTAATACTACAAATGCACTGAGTAGTGCTGCTCAGATCTTTTCCTAAACTAGAAGAATTAAGTTAGAGCAATTCAAGACATCTGAGCAAATTAGTTTTCTCCCAGATCATGCTTTGTCTTCTGGCACTCTACAAGGAACTTCATTTGCCATGGAGCCTCCTCCTCAGTAAGTTTAGCTGGGTCTCTCTGAACTCTCCTCTAGTCTCGATCAACCTAAATTTGGCTAGTGCTCGCATACTAATATTTAAAGCTCCCACAGTGCAAATGAAAAAAACATGCTATAAAAGGATTCAAAACAATACCATTTGTTTTTTGTTTTAAAATTTTGGTATTGAATTTCATGCTATTGAATCCACAGCCCTGGAGTCCAAAGTCCCCTTCTTACTCAAAAAGAGCTGCACAGGCAAGACAAGATTCTTCACAGTGTGCTGGGGGATGGACTTCTACGTTCCCTAGAGAGTTTAGACTCTAAGGAATACTTAGTCCACAACTTTTTTGATTAAACTGTCAGTGAGTGCAACAAAAGTCCAAAGCCTTTTTGAGACAGGGATATTCTCGACCACTAGGAACTGGACTACAAAAAACCCAATTTATTTCACACATGTACTGCCAAAGAGCTGTCAAATGAAAACAGCTTATTGTGAAATGTTTCTGTCATGAGAATGAATATTCATTCAAGAACAAAACAAAACCTACCAACCTCTCTGACTTTAAAAACAAAAAGCCCTTTGGCCAAGAGTTTCAAAGCTTTTCACCACCCTCAGTTGGCCCAAGATCCAGGATCCAACAAAGTTCAAGAGCTGCTGCCCAGTAGGACAGGGAATGAGATCCCAAACAGGTGTGGACCAGGTGTGAAAAAGTAGAAGGTTAACACACCCCATCCATCACTGGACAGCACATCTGTAAAAACGGAAATAAATATTAACTCAAGTCACAATCTTGTCTGGAGATGAGCAGAATTCTCCCCAGTGGCAACTACAGAATATCATGTGGTGAGGACTGCAGCTGAGCTGATTTACTGCTAAACTGTGCTTGTATGTTTGCAGGAGGTTCTCGTTCCCTTGCTGCTGAAGTGCTTTTCCTTAATACAAGAGACAAAGAGTCCTAGTGCTCTTCTGAATATCTCTCTGGTTCATTTTTCCAGTTGCAAAGCAAATGGTTTGAAGTTTCATTGTCTTGCCAGACTCATAAAAAGAAACTATCAACCATTAGCCAAATTGTGAAGAACAGCATGTTTTATGAAAACCTAATTAAACTATGGTCATCAATATCACTTTCATCTTTGCTGAGTACTGCCTCAGCTTTCTTATTGCATGCCAAGCTCATGTTCTTCTCTGATTCACTCAGTGAGATTACAGTTAACAGTTTTGTTTTGCTGGGTTTTTGGGGGGGACAGATACAAAAGCAGAGTCCTTCTTGTTTATATACTAGATCTGCAGGGTACCAGAAATAAGTGTCTTTGGGCTCAAGAAGGGATTTTATTTTCATGTCTCGGATATCAAAATGGGAATTGGTTGTCATTGTCACTCACACAAACAGACACAGAATGCCTTTCCCGGAAAGAACTGACAGAAATTAAATTACAAAAAGCACCACACTGCAATACACTTTGGAAATCCTCATCAGTGAAACAGCTCTTTGAGCTGCACAACATGACCCATGTAGATCCTATAGTCCAATGTACCAGGAGATTTGGAAAGTATAAAAAAAATACTACCATGTCCTTCTTTCCCCAAGGGAAATTCTTTTTTCCTTTATCTGTCTCTAAACAGATGAGGCATCCAGCCAGCTACAACTCATAGAGGAAGCCATAGGGAAACGCAAAAGTATATTGTGTTTTCACCTGATGGCAAGGAGGACAACACTATAGCTTTCCAGAAGCCTCCAAGCCTCTTCCAGGTCGATGATTAATAAAAGTAAAGAATTCACTAAAAATGCAGCACAAAAGACTGCAAAGCAGAAAGCACAGACAGTTAGGGATGAAGTAAAACTGATTTTAACAGATCAACAATCATCACTCCAGCCCACCTGATCTTTTTTCCCACATGCCAGTCCAGGAAGCAAGCTTGATGACGACTTAAACA